ATATATGTATATATGAAGTTTTAGTGCCACTGGCCTATGAGGCAGCACAGATTCAATGCTTAGAAATGGAAACGTCCTTTCTGAATTGCAATGAAGGGAAATGTTGTCAGAACCAGCTAAAGAGACAGCCACTGGGAAAACTCCAGGGTCACCATGTTACCAGTTTTTCAGGTTCATGGTAATAACTCAGATGGCTCATTACATCCACAAAATAGTGCGTTGGAGCACTATTCATAAGTCTTTTGCCGATGATGCAAAGTCTGGCAGGAATGACTTGGCAGGTCCTGTGGGTATTGGCAGGGTCTCTGCCATGAATAAATTAAGTAGTGGTATGTTCCATGGTGCCTTATGAGACATCCTGCAGGAGAACACTGCTTCTGGGCTGCTTCCACAGGAAGCATGTGGCCACGTAACATACCTGTGTGCAATGCACCAGGTAACTGGAGATGGCTGCTGCTTTGTTTTCATTAAAGCAATGCTTGAAAATGCAAGCATGACTAGCAGTCTAACATACTTAAAGTCATACAGTGATGTTCCCAGGTAAGAAACTGCTAGGAAGGTGCCTCAGTTAGATTTGTGCATGTGGGGTTCAAATCGAATATAGCAAAATGTAAATCTGCAGTTAGGGGCAGTTCTGCAAGCTTCCAGATGCTTGACAGGAAAAGTGGAATCAGGCCAGTGGTGGAGTTTGTTTCTGCCGTGGGACCAGCTTCAGTGTTGTGTGGTACCTGAATAAGAGGAGACTTCATCTTGGACAGATCATTTTGTTTGGTTTTCTTTTAGGCCTCTAACCCAGTAACTCTTAACTCTGGAAGTCAGGAAAATAGGGTATTTCTACTATTGTGTTGTATGTCTGAAGGGTTGTGTTACCTTAATTTATCATTCGTTAGTAACTTAAATCTCATTTGAGTTACAGTTCTTTCAGCTACTGGTTGATCCTGGAAGAGTATTGATTCTTAAATTGTGCATTATATTTTCTATTAACTCTTTTTGTAAGAGTTGGTACTTACAGAAATCTTGCTTAATAACGTGTCATAGGAAGAGTATGAAGCCAGAAAGTATTTAAATGTTCTTGATTTTTCTTGTGCCAGAAGTGTTAGGCCTTGCACATGCTCAGGAGTTTATCCTCTTGCAAGCAGTCAGTAAGCACTCTGAAGTCTGTGCTGTGTTGAGAATTGAAACAGGTGTAATGTGTTGGAATTAGAGGGGAACTTAGTCATCTGCTGATATATGGAATCCTGGGGTTACGTACTAGATCAGTGGTCTTGCTTGTGCATGTTGGCACTCAAAACTGGCAGAAAACATCTTTATTACTTTTTTACTCTCACCATAGTATAAGAAGATGATCTAAAAGTGGCCTTTTTTTGTCCTATTTGGAGCTTATTTTAAACAAGTTATTTTTTTCCAGATAGAAGGACCTTGATTTTTAATGGAAGTTATACTAAAAAGGGGGTTTGATGCTGCAAACCCGTTTTTTGGTGACTTGTTGAAACATAGAGAATGCTGAAGATCTGAAACGTAGACTTTACACAAAGGTGATGATATGGACATGGAACAGCTGTTGATTTCATGGGCATTCCCAAGAACATCCCTCTTGCTGTTGGGAATGAAGGCGCAGCTCAAGGCTTCAGTTCAAAGAAATGTCTAGTGCCTTAAGCTCTGACTTACTAATATGTTGTAACCTGTCAATTTGCAGGTAAGCATTATGAGGAAGAAGAGGAGGATGCCCTACCCGACTCAGATGCCCTGCCAGACTCGGATGATGAGGTGGATTTGGATGAGCCGCGACCCATACAGATTGTTCTTGCTCATGAAGATGACCATAACTTTGAATTAGATGAAGCAGCATTGGAAAAAATCTTGCTTCAGGAACACATCAAAGATCTTAACATAGTAGTTGTGTCTGTAGCAGGAGCTTTCCGCAAAGGAAAATCTTTTCTGCTGGACTTCATGCTTAGATACATGTATAACAGGGTGAGTAATTTGGATTCTCCCTGCAGGAGAAAAGTAGTTTGGTATTTTAGTCACTTACCTTTGTATTTGTTGACTTAAGCACAAATATAGCCAGTCAAATTTTCTTAATTACTGGGGGATGGGCAAGCCATCTACTTTGTTCGTACTCTGTGAAGAAGTGTATTTAAGTGACAGTTTTTCAAGATAACTTTTCCTGCAGTTATCAAGGGGACTTATTTGTGTCCTGATGTAAGTGTGCATGAGAAGAACTTGAACGAGGGAGCATTGCGGCCTTCTATTTGAGCTTTGGGGAAGGGTTCATCTAAGTTGGTGGCTTGGAGGAATTTTGCTTTGACCTGGTTCCTCCTTTGCTAGCTTACATGCTGCAAAAAGAAAAGTTATCAGGTAGCTAGTGGAAGACTAAATCTGAGGTATAGCAAAAGGGAGAAAGTCTCCTGTTTGCTGCTTGGAATATGTCTCTGAACATGATCCAGGAATTTTTTAAATCCTTTTAAATCATTGGTTAATGAGTGCCTGATCCAAAATTTAATTTCTTCTTTTAGCTTGTAGCTTTTGGCTGGTGTTGTCTTGTGTCTACTATACTGCAAACTCCTGGATGTGGAGAAGGTGGGGTAGGGCCTCCTGTGAACTTACACATCTGTTTGCCGCAGGTCGTGATGTGTTTCCTTTAACCTGCATCATGAATATTGACAGTTCAGTGTTTTGTTGCTTTTTGAAGCTCTTAAAAAAAAAAACCAAACAAACACAAAAAACCCAAACAAAAACAACAACAACAAAAAAAACCACAACAAAAAAAAAAAAAACCCACCCCCCCCCCCCCCAAAAAAAAAACCCACCAAAAAACCAAACAAACAAAAAAAAAAACCCAAACCAAAAAACCCCCACAACTTACTCTTTTTTTGGTCACTATTCTTTGGAGTTGGAATTCATGGTAGCAGAAACTAACCATGACTGCATCTATTTTACCTTTGTGCTAGCTGGCTTGAGGAGAATTCAAGATGAACCCTTCAGTTAAAGGAAATACGTGAATATTGCAAAGAAGCTGCTGGTAGTTGGCAAGTGAAGACTTCCTTTCTCTTACTCCCAATAGTGCCTGCCATTGAATTCCTCTCACTCATTTGCCAAGAGCTCTCTAAGAAAGACACTGAGGATGTGGTGGGAGGAATACAGAGTAGCAAGCTGTTGCTCCCTACTTCTTAAGACTCTAACCTAGGGAGGATTAAAGTTTTCATTGCTATAGCTGTTCAGTGAGTGACCTTTTGTGTGTGTGTGTGTATGTGAACCCTCATTGGTGTCCTGTTCATATCAAAACAGAAAAAACACCAAAACCCTATAAATGAACAACAAAATTGAGCTCCCAAGAAGTACAGCAGTTTGAGCTAGATGGTGGCTGGGTAGAGGTAGTGCTAGTTCCTTCCAAAAATAGAAGGGGTGGGATTTAAGTAAATACTGTAACTTTCAGATTGTGAAATAAAACAAAAGTTCATAAAGCAAAATGGATGGAAACAGTGTTTCAGCCTTGTACAATAACATCTCTCTCTGTTCCCTTTATTGTGCAGTCACTTTTTTCAGTTTTCTATAGGTGTCCTTCAAAACACCATGTTTCACTTGAACTGAAAATAAAGGCAGCCTTAGTCATCTACTGTAACAACTGTCTCTTACCAAAAGCAGAGAGGTTTTGCTCTCCATGTGCTGCTTCTGGCTAGGTATTTGCATTCTGAAGCTGTAATGCTTGCAGGTCTTTAGCTGAGCTGATCCAACTCAATGATGCATTAGAAGACACTGCACTTTGCTGAATTGTTCTCCTGCCAGCTCAGTGGCAGGGGAATGGCTTTAGGGCAG